CCCCCCCCATTTTCCAAGTGTTTTCTGATGCTTGCTTTTGAGTAATACGAAATGTGATCTAATTTTACTAAACTCTTTGGAATGCTTCCTTTGACTCTGTGATTCCCTCTGCATAGAGGAATGCTATCCAGTTTCTCTGAAGAGCTGCATTTGAATTGATTACCTTACAATTAGTGTGTCCCCTTTAAAACCAGTTGGCCAGCATGCTGCGTGCTGTGCTCCGAGGCACTGAACTTGAAGGAAAGAGTATTTTAAGGTTGTTGGGGTGGGGTTTTTTTTTGTCTGATTCTCCTTTTTCTAACTGCTTACATAAAATTGAGCTTATCTTCTCTAGAGAATTGCATTGCAACTTCAGAAGAGTGCATGTGTGTGCATGTCTGTTAAATAAAATATTTCCTTTGACATGTCCTATCATCGCTTGCTTCTTACACTAAAAGCAAATATTTATTGTATCTTCTGTAGATTAATGTTAGGTAGTGTTGTTTTTTTTTTTTTCCTCATTGTTTTATACTGCTTACTTTTGTATAAAATCATGTTAGTATATATAAATATAAAAATTGAGGAAATTTAAAATGTTCCTTTCCAAACCCAATCTGTATTTGTAACTTTAAAGGACACTGAATTGTATGATTGGACAGATGAAGCACATCTTGGCTGCAGAGCAAAAGAAGACAGACTTTAAACCAGAAGATGAAAACAATGTTTTGATTCAATATACTAATGTAAGTAAATTAAGTCCCAGCTCATCAGTAAAACCTCAAATGCTCATGAGTGTTATCAGGTACAAGATGTTCTTTACCAATAATGCATCAGACAACATGTTTTGATAATTTAACTGAGCTGGCAGCCAAACAAGACATGGCCACTTGCAGCCCTAACCCCTCCCAGGGAATAGGGGAGAGAATTGGAGGGATAAAGGTGAGGACACTTGTAGGTTGAGATAAAAACAATTTAATACTTAGAGTAAAATAAAATTAAAATAGTAATAATAATAATTATAACAACTATATATATGTGAGTGATGCAGAGTAAAATTGCTCACCACTTACCAATAATGATCCTGGAGGAGTGAAAAGGAACCCCAAGATGAAATCGTAATCCTGGAAAAGTGAGTTTGAGTGATTCCTGAGAGAATCTCCTCCTTTTTTCTGGTCAGCCCTGGTTAATATAATGAACATGACATAATATCATAGAATCACAGAATGGTTTGGGTGGGAAGGGACCTTAGAGATCATCCAGTTCCAACCCCCTTGCCATCAGCAGGGACACCTTCCACTAGACCAGGTTGCTTAAAGCCTCAGCTTTGAGTTCAAAGCCTTGAACACTTCCAGGGAGGAGCAGCCACAGCTTCTCTGGGCAACCTGTTCCAGTGTCTGACCACCCTCACAGTGAAGAATTTCTTCCTAATATCTAATCTAAACCTCCCCTCTTTCAGTTTAAAGCCGTCACCCCTTGTTCTGTCCCTCCCTGCCCTTGTAAAAAGTCCCTCCCCAGCTTTCTTGAAGGCCCCTATATGATATGGAATATCTTATTGGCATATCCAACTGTCAGTTCTGTGTTTTGCTAACTTCTCCCCCAGTCCTCTACACTTGAAAACTACCAAAGCACCATGTACCAAAACATTCTTGTACCTTATCAACATTGTTCTCATAACAATCCCCACTGAAACCAAAACACAGCACTTTCTAGCTACTATAAAGAAAATTAACCCTATCCTAGCAAAAACCAGGACACCTGTGCATTTGATTAATGTACTTAGCTATTCCATTTCGCACTAAGCACCTCCAAACTCTATTGTGGACTGTTTTCTCATGCTGAAAAGGAACATTAGCAGTTTTGCATCTAGTGTCAGACATAAACCAGTAGGTGCTGGATGAACTGTCACATTCTTTCCCCTCCCAAGGGACCTAGATTTGGAACAAGGTTTTTAGCTGATAATTAGCTTTAAGCTATCAGTTTCAGAAAATCAATTATCAGGTACTCTCTAGCTGCTGGGTGCTTTTTCCCCCTTAGAGTGGCAGGAGCATGACAAAGCATCACAGGTATGGCATGAACATTCTGTGCTGCAGAATGTTGTCTCTACCACCAAAGCTGTCTGAATCCCAGCCTGTGGGCTGCTCAGAAGCTGTACTGCTGGGTTACGTTAGGCTCTTGTCAGGGAACAACACAGGGAGGAGTAGAGAACAAACTAGAGTCAATGGGAAGAGGTGAGAGCATTTCCTGAATGCCTGCAGCCAGGTGGGCATGGGAGAAATAGAGCAGTAGGAAGTAGAGTCTGGTGCTAAGTGGGGAGGGTGAAGATTCCTGCATGGCTGTTAATTTGGGTTTCTAATTGCAGCTGACGAGGTTTTTAATCACTTCCCCCCTGACACACACACTCTCCTTGGTAGGTCATTGTTTGAATTAAAAGGCCAAATAGAACTGTTCTTTTCTGAACTGATATGAACTATAACTTAATAGAATATTGTCTTGCATCCATCTTTCTACTCACATTTTTGTATTTTTATGTGGCAAATAAAAAAATGTTGGAAAATTATTAATTGGAAAAAGACTAATTTCAATGGCCTGTTGTGGGAAGTTTAAAGATGTAGTGACTGATGTTCAGCTTATGGTGTGGAAGCCACTTGGAAAAGAACAGATTTCTAGAAATTAAGTTACCTAATTATTTTCTTCTTTTTTTTTATTTAGGCTTGTGTTAAAGTCTGCAGCTATGTTAGAAAGCAGGTAGAAAAAGTTAGAAATTCTATGGATGGTAAGAATGTGGACACAGTTTTGATGGAGTTTGGAGTTCGTTTTCATCGACTTATCTATGAACACCTACAGCAATATTCCTACAGCTGCATGGGAGGCATGTTGGCTATTTGTGATGTGGCTGAATATAGGAAGTGTGCCAAAGACTTCAAGGTAAGCATGTACTGGTTGATAATGTACTGGTTGTAATGTGTTGAAATTAGTAGCAGGTCTCTATTTTTAATCAGATGTTTTTTCTTCATAAGAATTGTTTGTTTCTATTTGAACATCAGTTTTTCTTCATATACTGATGTTATGTTTTCTGTTGCTATGCCAGCAGTTCTTTATAATGTCCTTGAGCACTTTCCTGATACAATTTTATTGCTTGCAGGCTGTGTGTGTTTATTGAAGAATATTGAGTTTGCATTGTTATGTGTTCTATGTATAACTTTGCATGTGTGTGCATGTGTCCCTACAGATGTATATGTGCATGTGTCCACATCAGGAGAGAATTATGTATATAAACCCCTGTAGGGAGGAAGCATTTTGAGAATCTAAGTGGACATTGTGTCATAAGAGTTCAAGCAACATTAACTCTTTAACATTAACTCTTTAATATTTGTTTTTCTCTGTTTTTTCTTTTTCTCATAACTGCAGATTGCACTGGTGTTACAGCTGTTTGATACCTTGCATGCACTTTGCAATCTTCTGGTTGTAGCCCCGGATAATTTAAAGCAAGTTTGCTCAGGAGAACAACTTGCTAATCTGGACAAGAACATCCTTCACTCCTTTGTTCAGTTGCGTGTTGATTATAGGTCTGCTCGTCTTGCTCGTCACTTCAGCTGAGAGCACGGAAAGAAATGTTGTACCTTTGGGTGGGCCTCAGTTGTTAGAAAGCACAGGGAAAGATTTCTTAACTGAATCATGGTTGTAACTTTTGTGGGATAATGACTGTTCCGAATAAAGCAGCAGCCATATTTAAACATGACTATGTAGAAGGTGAGCAGGTAAAAATCTGAATGATATTTCATGTAAGCTAAAGTTCTCCTGGTGAAGAATACTGCAAATCTTCTTGCTACTGATTTTTTTTTTTCTTTATTGGAAACATGTTGGTGTAGGAAAGCAAGTGGTGCTTTAGTCTTCAATATTGAATTATCAGATACCATTTCTTAGACTTGAACTACAGAGCATAGCGTAGGTAATGGATTACATAGAATAGACCAGTGTAAAAACATTCTTCATCAATTTTAATGACTTAGACTTCAGCACAGCTAATCATAATCAAATTATCTTTGATTGGTGTTTCCAAGTCATTTCTTTCATTTAAAACGTTATCCTGCTCAATGTAATTTCTTGCTCTAATTAATTAGCTTGGAATTTCTTTGAGATGTAGGAATAACAGCAACACTGTCCCAGAAAGATATAATTTTTTTCATTGTGTAGCATTCTAAACCGAACTAAAGTGGTGAAAAGTTTGGGAGGTTTTTCTGGTTCTTTGGCTTTGGTTTTTTTTTTTTTTTTTGCACCTAATAGTTGAAGGCCCACTAGAATTTATTGGCATTTTATGATCTGACATTCTTGTCTCTTTGATACTGACACACTGAATTTTATATATGCTCTTAAGGTAAATGCAGCTGCCTTATCTGAGGCATTCTTATTACAAGGTGAAGGTGCCCATTGTTGGGTTAATATAAGAGAATTTTCTCCTGTCTCTTGTTTTGTATGTAAATAAATTCAGATTATAACAAAGCAGAAGGACAGACTATAACCCAATCATTCATATATGGCAGGAATGGACAGTGGCTCTAGCAGAAACCTGGAGTTGAACATTCCTGTGCTGAGGATAATTGATCCTCAGTGCCTGAGCAATATGAAATGTTGAAGTGTGTGAAAGCTTCTCTTCCACTGACCGTAATTTTAATACTGGAGACAGGCTACTTTCGTGTCCATTGTGCTCCAAGGTGTTTCTGAGATGGACCCATAGTGTGCATATAGTGAACTGGAGCAACAGTGATGCTTGAAACATCTAGGGCAGCTTTTCCACAAGCAGCTGAAAATTGTTGTAAATAGACCTTTGTTCAGAGTGAACTCTTGTGGAAAACAGGTTGAAACTGCTGTGGTTTGTGTCTTCAGTCTGACTTGAATCATCCCTGAACAAACCATCTGTAACATTTTATTTCTACTGTGGGCTCAGCATACGTTACAGAAACTTCTTTCTCTCCCATCTTCAAAGCAGCATTTCTATAAATTTATGGGTCAGTCAAATAAAATTATTTTCCTCTTTTGTTAATGAATTCCCAGGTGTAGTCAATATTGACAGACTTGTGTGGAACTTCTCTTGGTTATGTTGAGGTTCTTCTGTTTCATTTTGTATTTAGCAGAGCATTATATCAGTAGAGAAGAGAACGAATGCCAGGCTCAAAGTATTTGAGGAAACTGGCTGCTTTGAGTGGTGTAGCTCTATTCCTTAGCCATGGCAAAGCCACAAAGAGTTTTGGACACTGGAGGAGGCTCATGCTTGTACTGCTGCCATTTTTTTTAATTTTTTTTTTTTTTCCCCAAGAGCTCTGATGTGAATTCAGATGATACCTCTCTGTTACCTCTGTAACTGAAAGCCAACAACTTTAAGGCTGTGGTTTTATGAACCAATACAAAATCTTTCTACAAATAAAAGTGTCAATTTATAAATGCTTCAGAACAGTGAACGTCATCTTAAGACTTCAGATCACGGAAGTGCTACAGAATTTGTATGATTGTTTGAATTATTTTAAGGTTGTATGAAATGTATTTACCATATTTCTGGCTTTGTCAGCTGTGTTTTCCATGCATATGCTCAGTGCAATATTTTCATTATGCCTGTTAAAAGAAGGCAGCAAAAAGTAGGTGAATACTTAAACTTAGATATGTAAACTCTTCCTCAATAAAAAGAATTCCCTCCAGACACTTTTTTTTCATTTCATTTCCATGTTCTTCAAATATCTTTATACTCAATTGTATAAGGCCTTCTATTTAAAAAAAAAAAAAATAGAAAAAAAAATAAAAGTAATTTTACTGACCAAATTTATCACTGGTGTGAGCTTTCCCTTTCCCCTTCCTTTAAAAAACCTCCCCATGCACAGACTGAGAGAGTTTCTATTTCTAGAGAAGACTATGTTGTCAGTAAGTTTACTTTACAATACAAGTTGGATTGGGATGGGCTGGGAAACTATAATTTTCCACACACTTTTACGTTTAGAGCTCTTATAGCATATGATTTGGGAAAATATTTCTGATGGCTTCTGAATACAATAAAGTACTACCCAAAATCCAAATATACCTTTTAGTGCTCATGTAATGAGTTAAAGTATTGCCTTTCTAATGTTCACTCCTAGAAGGTAGGCAGTTAACAGGCTGGCAGCCAAATGAATGCCTGAGAGGATGGGTGTGTGTGTGTGTAATTATGTTGTCTACAACTGGTGAAAATGGCTTTGCAGTAGGCTGGAAAATAAGCTGTGTTTTTTTTACAAGTCCTATAATTTATTAACATGATTTGGTATTGTATCCTGTTTGCGTTTGCACAGAGGGCAGAAAGGATTTGGTGTTCTCTAAGAATGCTTTTTAATGCAAATAAAAATATATTAAAAAAAAAAAAATTGGGAAATGGAAGTGCTTGGAAAAATAAGATCTAGATATTTAGAAACAGAGGGTAAGAAGTAAAGAAGACATGAACTAACAGAAGTAGCATGGCACATGGAAGGACATTAAAATGTGATTAATAGAAACCTGACATACACATCAGCCTAGGAGAATAAGCAGGACTGGAATTAAAATCTCCACAGCTCCATCCTACCCTGAAATGAAGTTTCTAGAGGAGGAGGACTGGCTAAAGTACTTTGCTGTGGAGCTGCTCATCGTGAAGCTGTTGGATTCAAGAGGAAGAGGCTATCCATACACGAGTGTGCATCTGGATAAGTATGATGCTGTGAATGTGAGCACTGCTTATTTCCACTCTGAGGAGCAGAAATGCTTCAGCAGAATGCAGTTTGGTTGGAGGGAAGGAGAATTTGCCAGAGCTGAGCTTATTTTTTTCTTTTCTTTGAAGACTACAGTGATCTGCATAATGGTAAGTGACTGATTGATTTGAGAACAGCATGGTATTGACAGATGGCAGGTCAATTTATCTCAGACTTGATAAGAGAACCTGGGTTTTGGTGAGTTTGGTTGGGGTTTTTTTTATTTTATTTTTATTTTTTTCCTGTTAACTTTCACAATCATTTAAATCACTGGTTGCTTCAGTGTTGAACTTCCACAGGTAACTCACAATTTTGGTTGCTTAAGGAGCAATCCTCTGCCGTATAGCTGGTGCTGGGGTGTGTTCTTGAGTGTTGTCTGAATCGATTGCCCCATTTCTGTAGGAAATGTTGCAAGTATGTGGCAAAAATGCTGCATCTTACAAAGTGCCCTGAAGAGAGTAAGGCCCGTTGGGTTCCATCATGAGCTGAGAACATGTTGGCCAGTTCAGAAGCCTATAGTTCCAGGATTCTCAATCGAATATGTGTATGACAGTAAACCTAATGTACTCGGTTTTAGATGTCATGACAAAGTCCAAAACAGAGGGGTGCTCTTTGGATTAAGTGTTCATTGTAATAACTATCTTAATTTGGATTAGTACTTGAGTTGAGTGATACACTCGAGGGATGAGTTGAGGGATGAGCACTTGAGTCAGGGATAGGTAAACCAGGCTGAGGTGATGGTTTTTCCTCTACGAAGGGAGCAGTTATCTAAGTAATTGCTTGTCTGATTTTAGATGCAGGTGGCAGCTCTTCTCCTTTGCACTTCTTGTCCCAGGAGCAGTAGGGAGGAAAAGCCATCAGCACCAAAAGCTGCTCTTCTAGAGGACAACTGAAAGGCAGGAGCACCTTACCTGTCCTCATGTTCTGCTGGATATTGGCTTCAAGGCATTATCCACCACTACCTCTGTGCTAGTTATAAGTGGAGATAAATTTCTGTTTTGCTGCACACATTGGAACGTTTTCTCTCTGGACATTGTTTTTTCTTTCCCAGCATTTCTACACCTGTTTTAAGAAGGGGAGGGAGCCAGATCTGTGTGGTTGTGTTCACTGCTTTGTGTGTCTCTTTTTTTCCTTCATCCTCATTTCTTTTGGTGATAGGGAATTTCTACACCATGTCTTCTGCTTATCTTAGAGTGGGGAAGCAGCTGTGTTTGCCTGTCATCTTTTCTCTTGTATGGGGCACTGCTTACTCTATGTCAACACAGCCCTTAGTGTATGTGGAAGCCTTAGTTTCTACTTTTATTCTATTAGCTTTACCTCCCTATACCTTGTTTTCCTTTCCAGATCTCAGGATTCCACTATCCCTTCTCCTCTGTTACTACCAGAGAAAGAGAAACCTTTAACTTTGCAACGTGGCTTCTAGGAGACCTTGTTCAGTTCCTCTTTCAATATACAGTGTTATATGAAAGTTAATGCTTTCAAATTTTTTCTTCTTGAAATGTTAAAGCTTCTCTCTCTTCTTTCACTGAAACCCAAAATTATCCATTAGGCTGCTGGAACCAGAGAATGGAGAAACAAATGCTGTTTTGGGAGACAGGCATCACAGCAGCGGTGGCTGTTGCTGAAAGCTTCCTCACACTGTGTTTTGTTGTTCTCAAACCTGGATTTACAAAGGATAGAGGAGAGAATGGAATAAGAGATGTCGACCCTTTTCATTCTTCCCCTTTCTGTGCACAGTGAGGATCTATAAGTTTTTGGGGCTGTTTCTGCTCCCTACCTCTTTAGTGACTGACTGTTTGCACCGCAGTATACCCTTGAAATTTATTCACCTTAACCTCATCTCATCTATTCTCAGGGGTGCCCTTGTCAGCCCTATCTCAACTTCTTTTCTAGCCAAGGATATATCCTGGCACAAACGAGCCCTCATAGTGTCTTGGTTGCACATTTGCTTTTCCCATTTTGATGATCAGTTCTCTGGGGAGAGGAGCTGTTGTTCTACCAAGTTCCTGGCCTCATCAAGGCCACCTCTTTGCTTGAAAAGAATGGTGAGACTGGAGGGAAGATGCCCCTAAAATAGATTCATAGGTAGATGAACTGCATGGTAGCTGGGTAAGCAATACCTGCTGAAAGAAAGTTCATCTCAGTTGATGCTGCCAGTTGAAGATGGTCATTTTCAACTCTATGCTGTTTTGACATGTGGTATTTGAGTGTTGTGGAGAAGCCAACTAACGTGAACTTGTGTTTGAAACATTTTTATAACATTCATTTTACTGTAAACAATTCGTTAAAATTACTTGCTAAGTCTTTAACAAGTGGATTTTTGAAGGTTCCTCATTTTACTTATCCACCCAAAGTCAATTTGAGTATGAATATATAACATTTTACTCATACTAGCAAACAACTTCAGAGAAGAGACATTTATTCTGGAGGCAGAGATTCAAACTAGACAGCAATGATGCATTACAAATATATAATTATTTGCACTAATATTTGAGCAGGTGGAATGGATTAGTACATGGTCAACATTGCACTGCTGATAACATGTATTTTTCTATATTAATATGTACTGTGCAACATGTATTAAAATTGTCAATAATTCATTTTAACAGAGATAGCAATATTTGTATTGCTGTGTTCTACAGACAGCAGAGTGAATTGTTTAAATGTGCAAAGCTGGGCTTGATTTAACTTAACTTTGTTTCCCAGACTGTGTGTTTTTAAATTTCTCACTTAAAAAAAAAAAAAAAAAATAACAAGACCCTTCAACCTAGAAAGTTGTTTGCTCTTCTGTGGCATTTCTGATCTGAATTGCTTTCACCCCTGCTCTCTCTAGCCTGTTAAGAAACAGCTTGAAATGAGACCTCCAAGACCCAGCCCAACTCCTTATTTTAATACTGGGATACAACCTCAGTTTAGGTGCTTCATATGTGGATTCCCTCTGCAGATTTTCCTGAATGAATTGAAAATCACTGTTGTCTTTATTTATTTATTTAACCTGTCTTGTCTTCTGCTGTGTTGGCTGTTGCTCTTCCCTCTTCGTGCATTTTTCTGGAAGCCTGTGAGGGTAAAATTAGTCTGTTTAACTAGAGAATGTATCCGCTTTTATAAAGGAGGAGCAAGAAGAGAGACTTCTCTCTGGTCCTTATTATCACTGGAAAATCCCATCTTAAGCAGAAAGTGCAACATGGGGTAAGCCACTAAATTTGAGAGGGATATCTTGAATCATGTTGTCTGCAAGTGCTTCTTGACAGCAAGTGTTTCTTGACAGTTGCTTTGTTCCGAGATTCAGACATGGGATCGTATTAGGGAAAAAATGGATTTTGTTGTTTTTCCATCCCAAGGATATCTGTCTGCAGGCCACCAACTGAGCTGCCTAACCCACGGAGTTCAAAGCAGGCAGAAACCATGCATCCATCTGAAGACTTTAAAGTGAGTTCCCTGTCCAGCGAGACACAAGTTCAGCTGGAACAATGAATCTCTTCCTTTTTGTGTCTTTTTTTTTTGGTACATGCTGATATGTATTAATTTCAGAAGTGGCTGTGGGAATGGATTGCTCCTTCCTCTTGTCTAGGTAACTTGTTTATTCTGAAATAGTATAATACATTTGAAACATTCCTTTAAAAGTGTAATGGTGTCCTCCTGTGGTGTCTGAGCATCTTCTATAAATGAACACATGAACTGAGTGCCCAGTTGAGACTAAAGACAAGAAAGTCTTTCTTAGCTGTTGAGAATCAACTTACTGGTTTTTAATTTACTTTTTTCTTCCTGCAACAGCCAGAGTCTTAAATACTAATTTTGAGGCAGGGCTTTAAGTCCAGGTCTTCTGAAAGAGACCAGAAATAGCCGGTTAATGTTCGCTCAACGTACAGGGCGCTGTGCCAAATTCACTGCTGGTGTGAGCAGCTGTAACTTTGCCAGCTTCAATGAAAATATGAATTTTTAAAAG